TCACCTGATAAGCCTCGGGTCCTTCGGCAATGATAGTGCCATGATACACTACATACTGCATATCTGTTAGAGTGCAGACGGTATCAAACAAGAGTTTGGGCCGGTCTGGACACCTCAAGTTCACCATGGTGTAATCCTTTTCAGCCCAATTCTCAACAGCCACAACCGGTCCGGACTGATTCCTCGGCATTTCATTGGCATTGTCTTTGTCGTAGTCGCGGTCAGCGTACATCAGTTGGTGCAGCCTCCTCTCCTTGTGTGTGGAACCAAAAGACACTGCGCTGTTCGCGCCTGTCCTGTCTCTGTCCCCCATGAGAATGTACAACAGAAGCTGCTTTATTTTGGTTAGCTTTTCTGGGTCGTCTATTGCCCGCCCGTTCTGTTCGTCCGTGATGTAGAGAAGTGAAGCCATTCTTGAGTTGTGGGTCCATACTTCGGCAGCCACAACGTTACACTTGTGGTCGGTGAGGACCGCAAAGATGTCCGAAAGCAAGCCGGGTCGGTCTCTTCCAGACAATTCAATTGTTGTGTGCTCAACAGCAGATTGAACACCGACCGATCTTGCCAATGACCGAAAGCTGTAACTCCTCTGTCCCAAGGACTGAAACATGAAAATGATAACCATGTATGTTTTACACTATTAAAACTCATATTAGAATCAAGAATCCTATGTTTAAGACGACTAAAATCAGATTAAAATCACTTGCTTGTGGGTTTGAGTTGCAGAATGAAGCATTCAGATTTGTAGATTCACCTGTTTAATTCGTTCCACGACATTACCATCATCGGTAAGCTTGTTTCCATGCTGATCAGTAACATGAAACACTACAAAGAAAGAACATCATAAAGATTCAAAAACAACAGCAGCATAAAGAGTTAAAAAAAATACCATCAAGAGTTAAGAAACTGACCATCCATAAACCATTCTCCGTCCGAAGAAATATAAGCACGGCGAATAATGAGGTCCATATCAGTAAGAACTTGAGCCACCTCCAACAAGCTTCCACGCTTATTTGCACTATCAACCTGTGGGTAGAAAAAACATTTGGTTTAAATAGAAATCATTCAATCAATCACCCGTCTAAAAAAACACCCAAAATGAAAACATAAAAATTGAATCTTGTCATGAAACAATCAAATTCATAAGACAACGAAAACACCAACAAACCTTGATGAGAGTTGCTCTCTTGTCTGATATGTTATCAACACTCACCCTAAAAAAGAAACCCCAGAAATTTTATTCAATCAGATTCAACACACACACACACACATCAATAATCAATAAAACAAATCAGAACATGAGAAAAAGAAACCATTTCAAGAAAACCCAGATAGAGCAAGAATCAATCTTTAAAAAAAAAGCACCTTGGTGGGTTCATCCTGAGCACAAGCTTCTCAAATTCGTCATCGAAGGTGACAGAAGAAGACCAGCAATCCATGGTTCCAGTTCCTGAAATCTCAGGGGGGTGGGGGAGAAAGAGTGTTGTTGAAGGAGGATGAAGGTGAGGAAAGGGCCGGTTTTGTTGGTTAAAGAGAGGAGGGCAGAGGGTGGGGGGACATCAAGTAGGTGTAAAGGCTGGCTCTTGAGCTGTAGTTTGTACCCAGAGATTTGGGGGAGGGGAGGGGCATAAATAGAGCTTCTTTAGCAATAAGGAAACGAATTAGTGTGGTTTTTCTTGATCAAAAAATTCATGATTCATGCCCACTGCTGCTTTCACTGAACACACACACGTTGCTAATGGCGTTCGTCCAGAGGACCCACCTCCCTGACCTAATCACACTCCCTCTCTTCTTTCTCTAATCAAACAAACAAACAAAGAACAGGTGTTTGATTCGGTGGTGGGGTTGGGGGTATTGGGTGGGTGGGGGTGATGATAAGGGAAGGGAATGGGTGGTGCGGCTTGGCTACCGATGAGATGTGAATGTGATTGCAACACACAGTCACACATAATCATTTCTCCAAAAATATTTGTCACGTTTCGTTTTCAATTATCACAAAATTTTTATTTGTATATATATTTCATTAATGATTTGATAAAATAAAATGTTCTCGACATCTTTTATTTTAAAAAAAAAATTCATGTTATTTTTAAATATGTAAATCTTGATTTTTATTTGTCTACCAATATTTAAATAAAATAGATTGAAAAAACTTGATATTTTTTTGTAGATTAATAATATTTAGGACAGGGAGAGTACTATTTTATACTTTCTGTACTCAATTAATCGTTTTTATTTGAGTTTATGAAATTTAAGAGAATGTTTAAAAAGTATAAAAATGAATGCTTAAAATTTGATTACAGGAAAGAAAATTATTGCGGGCATCATTTTTTTTAGTTTTTATAATTATTTAGGAAGAAATTAAAGAAGTGTGAGAAGATTAATTCACTAGAAATATTATATCGGCAAGACGGCAACATTGAAGTTTTTCCCTAAAATAATTCTTTCGTATCAATCTTTATTTAGACGCTTAGAAAATCTTGATTTGTTTACGTGAAAGTGTCACTACGTAACATTTGGGGGAAGGTAGGAGTATATGTCTAGAACTCCTCACAAAATATTTCGTATGGTTTGACTTTATAATTCAAAAATACGGACTAATAATATTAAATTAAAGTCTAAGATAAATTTTATTAAAAATTATTTTAAAAAAATAGAAATGGAGAGAATTTATTACTTTATTATTTAAAAATGTTAGAGAAGGAACGAGATATTCCATTAGAATTAGTCTTTAATTTGTATTACACTGGTATTTAAGATTCTTAGTCTTGTTAGGAATATATATATATATATATATATATATATATATATATATATATATATATATATATATATATATATATATATATATTTCATCCAATACACCATGGCTTGAGTAATTTTAGTTATGTACAATAATATTACTTGTATACCAACATAGGCATTTTGTGTCAAAGCTGGTGCAAGCCATGGTATATATATAATGAATGGTGTACATCTAGCAAACTCATTTATCTATTTCTTTTCTTTTACAGTCTCATCCATCCAAACAAGACAAGTTCGACAATCATCCCTCTCTATTTTGCTCTTCATTCAAGCACTCATAGGAAAAAATATCTATTGTTTAAAAACTTTACAATGATTTTGCAACAATCCTAATAAATAATGTTATCAAAATGTGAACAAGGGCAAGAATTGTATGAGAGTTTAGAGCAGCGTCCCTAAATTCCTTTAAGACAATGTAAAACGACAAAGTTGTAAGAGCATATTCTCCACACAACACTACTATAGATCCTTGTTCCGTCTAAAATCTTGGGAGGAGGGAAGTTAAAAATTTTAATTTAACTCCATCCCCTCATTTTTGTCCTCTCCAAATTGGAGGGAATCAACCTGTCCTTCATTCATCCTGGTTCCTAAGTCATAGTTAAGTATTATGCCTCATCGGTCTACTAGGCTCTTCACCTTCTTTGAGAAATCAACCTAAAATAACGGATAAAAAACATTGATAGAATCTAAACCCAAAAATTAGAATGTATATTGTGAACGAAGCATGGAAAAGATAGTTGTTGTTAAAGAGTATCCCACATCGGAACTTGAAGATGAAATAAACCGGTATATAAGTCTTTGAGTTGAACTAACTAATCGATTGGATTCAATTTTTTAATGCGGTTCAACCCAAGTGTCTTATTGCCCAATCTAGTTGTCCATATCCATCCTAAATTCTATCATGGTATCAGAGCAACTTTTGGCCCACCTCGTTTGTCAAGGTGTCCGTCTAGACGTTCATTCCTAGCGGCCCATTAGTATTTAGCCCAGTTGTCCGTATGGAATATGTACCCAACAGCCTGTGGCCCGTTTAACACGATTGCTCGTCTGGAAGTCCATACCCAGCAACTCGTGGTCCTTTAGGTGTTGGCCCTAAAAAAATTAAGGGGATGAGAGTCCATTTGCAAGTGGTCAACCGGTTAGATTCAAAATGACCCGGTTGTCCACTTGAGGGGGAGTGTTAAAGAGTATCCCACATCGGAACTTAAAGAGGAAATAAACCGGTATATAAGCCTTTGAGTTGAACTAACTAATCGATTGGATTCAATCTTTTAATGTGGCTCAACCCAAGTGTCTTATTGCCTAATCCAATTGNNNNTTCCCATCCCTTAGCCAAACTAGGTGAAGGGAACCCATCTCCTCCCATCCTTTTCCTCCCCTCCAACCAAACATGCCGTTAGGGGTAACTCAATTTCGAGCTCAATGAAAGGCATTAGATCTCTCAAATGAATTTGTTGTCACAAGGTCACAATAAGGCCGTCCATTATGGGGCGTTTCCCACGCCCGTGACCAGCCCCTCACGCCTCTCATTCCATGCCATGCCAAGTGTGAAGGGGCTGTAATAGCCATCCCGCCATGGTAAGCTTCTTTTTTTCTTTAACAAATCAAAATTTAGCACATATCAATCAATCAAAAAAATTCATCCACAATCAATCAAAATAATTTACATCTTCATCCCATCACTTTTCAGTCACGCCTCTCTTTCAAGCCCATAACACATACTCCGTCTTCTTTACTCACACCTAACTACTTACGGGGCGCCTGCGTGCCACCACATCAAACCCTCATCAGTCCACATAACACATAAGTGTAAAAAAAACCACTAGAAAAAATTTACATTTTTTTGTCTCTACTTTTTCCAACGCCACTTTTCTTTCCACCCCTTCCTCCAACTAAAGTCAAAAGCCATGTGCATTTTTAACTTTTCAATTCTAAAAAAGCCACCTTTGAATGAAGACTTGAAAAAGGAATTACTGTATTAGTCCATGAAAAAGACCCAATGAAAACTCTTCCAATGGTTTGCACAATTTTGAAAACTCTTCTAAATATCCAAACGCCACAAACTACAATTATTTGGCAGTCATGATAACAACTCCAAACTCTCTTCTTTCTCTGATCTGAATGCCAATTGCTGCACCCATACCAAAAGGGAAAATGAAGCAATTACATTGACAATGCAAAAAAAAAAAAAAAGAGAGAAATCATATCTATTATTTAGACCAAGTCCAGAAATACTTTTGAGTACTGACTGATTCACCTGGAAGGAATAGAGCCTACATATAGCACTACAACAAGACTCAAAGATGAATGGTTACATTTGACAACAACAACAAAAGCCGGAAAGAATAATCGCCCGACTATCGCGACAGGCAAGCCGTTCTCCACACACAGTCACTCCACTCACAACCAAAAAGAAGGGGAAAAAAAAATGATGACTGTCACAAGAATGGACAATCTCTCCTCTGCAACTAGAGAAACAAAATTTTGAATGGCGGCAAGGCAAAGCTGAGAACACTGAGTTTCTTCTTCTCTCTAAGCTAAAGTACAAGAGCAACCTTCTCCTGGGAAAATGGCGAAGGGTGAGCAATGAGGGGCTCGTAATGATCGGCTCCAGCTCCACACCACCCTGCAAAGTAAAACGGGTCGAAATTGGAATTCATAGCTATATAGATAAACAGACCCAGGCCAGAATTACAAAGTGTAAATATGTTGCAGAAGAAGAACCATATTTACCTGTTCCTTTCATGAATAGAAAGATGGGGGGTTCGCATATTTCACTTCTCGGACGGTGTGGGAGGAAGAAAATACAATTATCTTCATCAACCATTGCATCAGATCCGTGTGCTTGAACCTTTATAACACCACAAGAAAATAAGAAAATGATTTTAGCTTCACTATCATTTGTTCAATTCATGATGGGTTTTCGACTTTCCCTCCAACAATAGTGTTTGTATTGCAACCAATTCAATCGTCATCTGATGATCTCTGCCCAGATGGTTCAGCAAAGCCAAAACAACCCGGCAATTAAGTTTGGAGAAATCTTAAGGAAAATTTTTTTCTCATTTCTCATTTGGTTTTTAGACTGCCATTAAATAAAACTAGATCTTGCTCAAAAGGTGCAGAATATAAAATGCACACGGGGAATGTCGTTTACATTAAAGAAAAGGAGGGATTTCATTCTCACCACAAAAATCTCCCGTTTAAACTCAGTCGCGAGACACTCGATTGCAATGTCATCACCGAAAGCAGCAGCATGTCCGTATCTGTTCTCATCTATAGTCAACAATCCCTCCTCAGTGTATTGCAAGTTGATGATATTGTATTCATCTTCAGGGGAACCAGAGATTAACATATATTTTGCCCAGCTTGGGCCATCATCTACAGCTATACATCTTTCTTTGTATATAGATTCCGCAGCCAATTCTCTTCAACAATTAAAAACTATAGTCAAAAATCAAACCAAGAATGCAAAAGAATCATATGCAATAGATACAACTCTCAAATCTAAACCTTCAATCCTTCATCATCCCACAAAACAAGATTTTTCAGATTTTCAATCAATCTCTGATTTGAGAAACACGGATTTTCAACAATACTCTGCAAGAAATCATTGTTCGCCATGCCCATCTTTACGAAACATGATTTTTCAGGATTCCAGTCGATTTCTATCAGTTACCCACATTTCTACGAGACAAAGTCGTCAAGATTTCGGAAATATATGAAATGAAATGAAATGAAAGACACCCCATTTCATCAGATCTGGAAAGTTACGAAATTTACCTCTGCATTCCGAGCTGAACGAGCTCATTAATGGCCGAGTCGAGAGATTCCCGGTCTTCTTTCTTGGCTAATAGCTTGAGTTCTTGGACAACGTGAATGCCCCAACCGGCATTGAGATCTGGCGAGTACATGTGTTTAATAGCCGATTCAATCATTCCCCTTTCCTCATTGCTCGCCGATCCGAAATCCTCCATGAACCGGAGCACCGTCCGCCGTCTCAGATCTCTGGCGGTGGACGCCGCGGGAAGCCCCATGGCCTTAATGGATGCCGTGAAGAGGCAGTTTCCGTCGGACTGCACCTCGCCGCCGTGGCTCAGCCGGAAAACGGCCGACGTGCTCTGATCTTTTGGGTGCTTCCACAGGACGCCCTTGGCTTGGATCTTTATCAGGTTCCTCCTCTGCTGGTCCTCCAACCCAGAAACATTCTCCCACGGCGTGGTGGCGGCGGCTGCCACGGCGGCGTTTGCCGACATCTGGTCAACGAGATCGATGGAATCGAGGTTGGAGGGGGTGGAGGTGGGGTCCCTCCATGGAATCACCGGCGACGAAGCCGTCGAATCACAGATAAGTTTCCCCATTCCCTAAAGATTCAAAGATTCTACAAAATAATCTAATGTAAAACTAAAAAATGAATAGAAAACTTGTGTTTTTCCCCTTCTTTTCTCTGCTCTCCTTCAATGGATAACTGAACCGTTACAGAGAAGAGAGAGAGAGAGAGAGAGAAGGGTAGGTGTTTAGGGTCTTAAGGGTTAACGGATAGATTTGACCTAGAGGGAGGAGGAGGACACGTGGGCAAATCACATCTTTGGATGCATAATCGGGCTCCCGATTTGGGTAAAATATAATCCCTCCGTCCGTAAATATTCTTCTCACTTTCCTTTTTGGTTCGTCCGGAAATATTCTTCCCATTTCCTTTTTTTAGTATACTTTTTAAGGATAAATATCAATAATACTCTTCTATTTTATCACAAATCTACTTTTTTAGTACTTTGTTAATAATAAAAGGAGATTTAAAATTTATAGTATGTGCATTTTTGAAAATTTTGCATATTTTTTACTATTCCTTAATAAGCGTGTCAAGTCAACACGTGAAAAATATTTCCAGACGGAGGGAGTAATTACTGTAAAAAAGACAACGAAAAGTTAATGTATTCTACTTCTTTTGAATTTTTCACTTTTCTAGTTATTCTCGGTATGGCTGTAAAACGAATAACCAAATGTTAGGAAATTTTATTTGTATTTATACAAAGATATCATTATTGTTATTCATATTTATTTTTTATTCGAATAATTATTACTATTCGCATAATCACATTTGATTCGATATTAAATTGAAATATTCGATTTGTACTTGTGTTCTCTTATAAAATTTAATTTTTGAGTTTTCTTTTACGTTTTATAGCTTCAAAAATTACTACCCCCACAAGCTAATCATATACTACCTCCAACCCGGTATATTCATCCAGTTTAACTCGAAAAAGTCAAATTGGATGAACTTTGGATCTCAAATAAATAAAAATGTTATGTATTTTAGTATAAAGATTACTTCAGTAGATTTATCTTGTTAAAAACTATTAAAATTTCAATTTATTGTATTGTATACTAATAGTGACATGTCCTTAACAACGACAATAACTCAGTTAGATCTCACCAGAGTAAGGTCTGGGGAGTGTGCGTCTGTGAATCTTTCCTCTACTCAAAAGTGGAGAAGCAAAAAGAGTTAGGGGGTGTATTCAATCAGGATTATGATAGATTTTTTTGTATTTCAAAAGTCTGTAGGTATTCAATTCAGATTTGAAAAAGTCATTTAAAATCTGGATGTGTTCAATTCAGATTTTTACAAATCCTTCTAAATATGATGGTATTTAAAAATTGATAGATTTCTAAAGATTTTTAATACTGTAGATTTTGATGGATTTCCATGCCTTGCATATAAATACAAACCCGAATACCAAATCCCACAAACATCCATGTGATTTTGCAAACTCTTCCTCTTCTTCCGATTAATTCAAATTTCACGCAACTAGGACTTTATCTTCTCTTCTTCCATCTGTGCAGTGGCAACACCATGAATTCGATGGTGCAGACTTTTCTTATGTTCTTATCTTCTGCCTGGCTTATCTTTCAGTGCAACCAGGACTTCTACCTTGCTTATCTTTTTAACCTTGCAACCAAGACCTTTGCCTTTCTTATCTTCTCCTTGTTTGACCAACCAGACTTCTAGGGCAGTTGTTAACCAATTTGATGCCGACTTCCAAACTTCAGAAGGCTATCGTAACCCAAAATTGATGAAAGAAGGCCCGATGATGCAAGATGGCTATTGTACCCTAAAAATCCACATAAATCAATAAAAGAGAATGGACAAAAGTCACGTAAATCAATTAAAAAAAGGGTCAAACTCTATATGGAATCTATGGATTTCTAAATCTTTCAACCTTTTAAATTACAAAAAAAATCCTAGAAAATCTCGATTGAATACATCCCTTTAGTTAAATAACCAATTCAATGTCCATATTGGACGGAAAAAATAAGTAATATTAAATCTATATTGCCAACAAAAATAACACATCTAACAAAATATGCATCATCCCATACTTAAATCAAATTTACAAATATATTGTTCTCTAACATTTTCAAGTCCTCAAGATTACTTTAGCCAGTATTTCAAATCTTCATATGATTTTGCTTCATGATCGTCAAGTGATCAAGATTACTTCAATTGATTTTTCTTCCTACATAAATAATAGAAATCACCCTTAATAGGACTAAAATATAGAGAAAAGTACCAAAATAGGACTTTCATGTTTTTTTACAAAATAGGACCTCGTACTGTAGTAATATGACATTGTACATGTGCACATTACTATAATTTTTGGTAATGTACATGACCATGTTTGGTAATGTAAATGCATTTTAAGTCCTATTTCAGATATAAAAAAATGAAAGTCTTATTCTGATATATTTCCAATGTTTTAGTCTTGCTTTGAGCTTTTTCCCCATAAATAACATCTTTGAAAGTTAATAATAGACTTTAATTAAAAATATAAAAGTTTGCATATTAACTTATTGAAAAAATATACATATTTACACATTCATTTAAAATTATTCAAGTACTTTTTCTACATCTCACCCAAAAGCTAAATGTATACTATCAACTACGGAGTACACTGTATATTATGCTCTGTATTAATTATGAAACAGATATATTAGGTATAAATTTTTATATTTAAATTCAAATATATTCGTTAACATATTGAATCGGATACACATATGTTCGCATTCGTTTTCTTTCAAATTCTAATAAATTTTATATTATTATTTATATTCATTTTTTTCAAATACAAATCACTGATTTCGAATAAAAATCACGAATTGAATTAAAAATATTTATTTTTTTAACAACCTTACTTTTGGGAAGTATTTATAAATTAAATTAAAACTTCTCCTCTTATATCTGGATTATTTTAAATTTTTTATACTCTGTATGTTACTACATTTGTTTTAAATTATTTGTTCATTTTAATTTTATCGAGTCAAATTTATTATATTTGATCATTAACTAAATATAAATTATATTGTACATTAATACAAAATAATTTCATTGCATTGCATATTCCTGTAGAAAACTTTTAGATATTTATTAAGTATTTCATTGTATTAATATGTAAAATAAATGTGATGTAATTGATGGTTAAAATTCAATTGACTTGAAAATTCAAACAAGACTATACTTTGGGACAAACGAAGTACTATTTAAAGTAGTATCATCGAATCACTTTTATTTTCCTTAAATTTTTAATACTCGAGTGTGTTCTCTTCAACTTATTTTTATTAGACATAGATCATATTAGACTAAACATTATCATATTAAACCAGATCAAATAAGAAGTTATTTTAAATTTAATAGAATAAGATTAGATTGAATCAGATCGACGAAGAAAACATGCCATAGCCAAGAATCTAAGCGGGGGATTTTGAGGCTAAAGAAAAGGGATGAGGAGAAAACACACATCTCAACAAAAATCATCCACTTCTTTGCAACTTGCAAGAGAAAATGTGAAGGGGAGAGAAAAAGGTTGAGAAAAGAAAGTGAAATAGTTTCTCGGTTCATATGACGAGAAAATTTTATTGTGGGAGAAAAATTTATTGAAATGACATACCTATGGATAAAAAAAATATCTTTGTCTATCAACTCTTAGATAAGTGGCACACTTTTCGTAAACGTATCAAATCTATGTCTCAATATCTTGATGAATTTACCATGATCCTCGCCGATCTTGATGGCTTGCGTGAACATGTCCCTGAATGTGATGCTGTCAATGCTATTATTCACGGCCTCTTCCTATCGAGTACTCTTCTTTCAAACAAAATTTTTGTCTACAAGTGTCTATGTGACATTGTTGACTCGGTCATCCGGCTTCTGTGACCACCAAATCTATCGTGTCTTGATTAGGCTTTAAATTTTTCGAGCCTTTAATGTGAATTATGTTCTGTCTTCATGTCTTGTCGTTTAGCCTTTGAGTTGTCTGAACACAAGGCCAATACACCCTTTAATTTAATACATTATGATGTTTGGGGTGCAACATCTATTACTTATGTTAGTGGTTTCAGTATCACATCTCCTCCATTGATGGTTTTAGGCTTTTATCAAAATTCACATGGCTTTATCCACTAAAAAATAAATCAAAAGGTTACTCTATTTTAGAAGTGACAATGGAAAAGAATTTGTGAATAGTACTTTTGACTTTTTTCATAAGAATAGGTAATCGCTTGCTTATTGTTTTCCAGGAATTGTCTAAGTCCTAAACACAAGAAATCAATTATCTTATTATCGAGGGGGGGGGGGGTAATCGATTATCGATTAGTGAAGGCTTGGATCATGCAAAGGCTTAGGAAAGACATTTGAAACATCCGAAAAGAGTTGGGTTCATGGTGGGTTAAGAATGTCACTTAACTATTTATTTTTACCAAAACTGTCAGTCTTTTATCTTCATTTTAATAATGTCATTGAACTTTTTAAAATTTTCAAAAATGCTAATAAATGTTCCTACCTTTCTTTTTTGAAAGATAACAAACAAAATAATAAATACTTAGGACTGCACATTAAAAAAAGTTAGAACGTTTTCTGAAATGAAGACACTATTTTTATTAATAAAAGTTACAAAATGTCATATATTACAAAATCGTGTTTTAAAACAATTAATGTTTTTTATAAATACAATATTCATGAGTGGTAAAAAATTGATAAGAAAGAAATTTGTTACAATGGTATGAATTAGGATAAATTCAATCGTGGACTATAGGTACACACTGCACTCACGGATTAGTCTGGTAAACAAATTCTTGCCGTTGAGATGAATCCTTTTAATTTAAAAACGAAAAAAACAAGTCTTAATGTGAAAAAATCCATGGAATTTTTATGGACTTAATGCACCATAGAGTACTAAAAAAGCTTTAGAAAATGTAGGTAATTAAAGAAAAAGAAAAAAAATTGCCTACTTAAAACATTTTAGTGATATTCTAAAATTTTAGAGAGCTCAATGATATACTTCCTCCGTCCCCAATTTGATTATAATTTTTTTCTCTCTTCTCAATAATTTTTTTTATTTACGCGATTTCATTAAGTATTTGATCAAATAGAATATTTTTATCACCTCTTGTTTTGTAGAACTTGCACCAGGGTCTGCCCTTAGCCCTTTTTTGTTCACCTTGGTGATGGACGTCCTAACTCAAGGTGTTCAAGAAGGGGTCCCATGGTGCATGCTTTTCACAGATGATATTGTGCTTATCGACGACACACGTGAGGGACTAAACGATAAGTTGGAATTATAGCGCCTTGCCCTTGAGACTAAAGGATTTAGAATAAGTAGAACAAGACTGAATACATGGAATGTCGTTTCAGTGGCCGGGATACAGAATCAGAGGTGGAAGTCAGGATTGACTCTCACCTAGTACCTAAGGTAGACAGGTTTCGATATCTTGGCTCGGTAATCGAGGCTGATGGGGAGTTAGATGCGGATGTTGGACATCATGTTGGAGTGGCTTGGGCCAAATGGCGGTTACCTTTAGGGGTGTTGTGTGATCCGAAGATTTCGCCTAGAATGAAAGGTAAGTTCTATCGATATGTAGTCAGACTTGCTATGTTATATGGGGCAGAGTGTTGGGCGATTAAGAAGACTCATGTGCGTCGTCTGCATGCGGCGGAGATGCGGATGTTACGATGGATGTGTGGGAAGACAAGGTTGGATAGGATTTCGAACAAAGTTATCCGACGTCAGGTAGGCATGGCGCCGGTGGAAGATAAGTTGCGGGAAGCAAGGTTGAGATGGTTTGGCCATGTGAGACGGCGGGATGCTGACGCCCCTGTACGGAGATGCGAGAGGATTACGGTTATCGGCGGAAGTAGGGGAAGGGGTAGACCTAGGCAGAATTGGAAGGAGGTGATTAGACAGGATTTAGGACTTCTCGACCTGACTGATATGGCCCTAGATAGGAACCTTTGGAAAACTAGGATTAGAGTAACTGGATAGGAGCTCGGTGTTGTAGAGGTTGTTTTGTAGTGTGTTGTATTTGTTTGGAATCTTCTGCTATTGCTTGTATTTGGTGCTTTATCTGTGTTATACTATGTTCCCTTCCATATTTTTGTGGAGGTGGAGCCGGGGGTCTCTTGGAAACAGTCTCCATACTTCCGAGTAGGGGCAACTGGGCAAGGTCTGCATACACACACTCTCCCCAGACCCTACTGTTGTGTGATTCACCTGGGTTGTTGTTGTTGTTGTTTTGTAGAACTTTTGAAGTAGTTTTTTAATATGTTATTTTTTTTATTTCTTATCGATATATCGATTTGTAAATAAAATGATTTCAAAAAGTAAAATATTTCTCCTCGTAAATCCCAATCTATAATCAAATTGAGGACAAAAGGAGTAATTGAAATTAAAAAAAATAAAAAGTGATATTTTTGACAAAAATAAGACTTATACTTTTGAACATTTTAAAGATTTCTATGACATTATTGACACAAAAAAGTAATGATATTTTGATAAAAACAAATAGTTCAATGCATTCTTCCCATTTCTTCCCAATTCTTTTAGGGTCCGTTTGGTATATGGAATTGATAGAATTAAAATTGAATTGGAATTGAAATTCCATGGGATTCAATTCCATAGAATTGAATTCATCAATTCCAATTCATTTTTTGCACTACCAATTCCAAATCCACATAATTTTTGTGCTACCAAACACCTACAGAATTAGAATTGAAGTTCTCAATTCCAATTCCATAATTTGAATTCCATGTACCAAACTGGCCTTAAATCCCACCTCCTGTAATTTGGATTCGCATCTCAATTCTCAATCATATTCGTCTATATCATCAGTTCTAAAAATTCAAATAAAACCATACTCCCTCAATCCCAAGAAAATTACACACTTTGACTACATTGGGGAATCCCTCCGGCTGCAGCGGGGCCTGTTCATCTTCTAGTTGTCGCGTGAAGGTCCACCAGCCTTCAATCAAGCTTCAACACAGAGAAGAGCTGTGGTTTTTATGTTCTGCTATTGAAGATGAGAGAAGATAAGTCTTGGAATTGTGCAGAGATGTGTTGGGGGAGGGGGAAAAAGAATCTCTAGGGATATTTTGGGAAAGTCAAATATACCATACACTAGCCCCGAAGTATCAAATCTTTTATTGCTCAAAGTCAAGCCCGTACTTTATTCTTCCTTTAAGACGCTAAATCTTGCATTAGTAGGGAATAATTATCTTGTAACAGAAGCTTATATGGCATTGGCATGTGAAATACAAAATAGTATGCATTCTTGTAATGAACCCATTGTACTTTTGGTTCACAAAGCTATATAGATTCCATCTTTCACACAGATTTTATTTCACAACCAATTTGGTACAAATTGAGGACACGTCCCTCTCCAAAAGGTGGGTAAAACCAGGACACCACTACATCTTTTACTCTCTTTTGAACTGTAATATTATTACATTAGGGAGCAAGCATTGGGATTTTCATCACTGAAGAGTTGGGGAGCATGGAGGAGTTCAGTGGTGTAGCCTTTGTAGCCCCCTCCTTTATTATTATTGTTGTTGTTGTTGTTGTTGTTGTTATTATTGTTATTGTTATTATTGTTGTTGTTGTTGTTGTTATTGTTGTTGTTGTTCTGGTTGCCGCCCCCGCCTTTATTCACTTTCAGAATCTGAGCATGTCTTCCTCCCCTCTTACTTATGAAATCTACAAGCTTTTCTGCAGTCATGCTCCCCTTCACTCTCACTGTGTGATTATTCATGTCTGCATCCACTATTTGTACCCCTACATCCACCATCAAACCACACATAAACAACAATCTCAAAAACTTAAAACTGTTTGGCTGAATTGTATTTTATTTTTTAAAAAAGAAATTCTCCCTAATATGAGCTACATATTCTTTCTTTCTTTTTTACAAAATGAGTTTCAATATATACCTTTAAAACAAAAGTAAAAAAAAAATGACAATATAATTTTAGGGCGGACTAGGATCTTTTAACACAACTTTGGATGTCATTTTATGACACCGGCTATTTGGGATTTAAGGTCTTAGTGGGTATTTCCCCCTAATTCATGCCCCTTGGGTTGCCGATTGGTTATATATGTGGCTAATCGGCAATCTCAGGGAGCAGGGGTTGTGGAGGGTTAGCGGGTAGGACCCACTCCGTGGTCAACCTGATATCGTAGGGCATCGGAGTTATAATATGACATTCAAAATCAATGCCAAAAGAACAGAGTTAGGAGAGGAAAAGAAATTACCTTCCAATTTGTGGATGCACTGCTTCACTTCCATAGCACAGCTTTCACAGTGCATGTACACTTTCAATAAGACCTCAATCACTTTTGGCTGTACAAATAAACAAAAAAATGTATTAAAATTCAAGATTATACTCCTTAATAAGCACAAATCATGAAAATTACAAGATCAGAGATGTAAAAAGACTGATCTGACCTCTTGTTTTTTAGGTTCTTTGTTCTCTTGTTTCTTGGGCTTGATAAAAGGAGAAATCAGCTCTACATGTTTCCCACTCTTCTTTCTTAACCTCTCTGTGACCTTAAGAGGATCAGCTTTCTTCCCTTTTACAGTTACTCTGTGGCTCTTCTCATCAATTTCTATTGAATCCACTCCTACATTACCATACACAAATTAAAAACCAAAGTTTTAGAATACTCCTTTTGGAGTTACCCTTTGATACTTTAATAATAATCAAGGATATTTTAGGTATTAAATTCGTAAACACGAGTGACAATGTCAGCTCTTAAAAAAGTACCCTCAAATCCAACGAGTGCGCTTTTGACCGTGTCTGCACAACCTTGGCAATGAATGTAGACTCCCAATATAATGGTTCCTCCATGGTTTTGATTCTGGTTCTGATTCTGGTTTTGATTTTGATTCTGTTCATTATTCGACGACCCGTCTTGATTATTGCTTCCTTGTTGTCCACCACCACCATTGTTGTTGTTGTTGTGATTGTTGTTGTTGTTGTTGTTGTTATTCCCCTGTGAATTAAAATGATAAAAAATGAAAAGCAAATTGAAATTGAGTTTTTAAAATGTATTATACTTTATTTCTATATTGAGAGAGAATTAGATTATGAGACTTCTTACCCTTCCCATTATGTTGTTGAGCTCTGAAAAGGCAAAATAAACTTAACTACAAATATTGGAGACTACCAAACAAATAAGCTTTGGTGGGTGTATATATACACACACACAATATATCAAGTGCTTAAAATGAGCCTTCCATACAAAAGATATGTTCTGTCCAGAATAGAAACACCATAAATATGAATCAAGGATAGAAACATCATACTAATTCATTACTAGACAACATTTAATGAGAACAAAAAATTATCTGTATATGTAAAAAGTGTGATTTGCACAACCCATACATTGTACAATGAAGACCCTCTTTGGCAATATATTGAGCGTTTAGCTTTAACGTTTTGAAAATTTAGATTTAATATTTTTAAAATCACTCTCCACTGTTAAAATATTATCCAAAGCGCTAACTGAAAAGTATGTTCCCAAACTGGGCTAGAAATAGTACAAATATTAATATGATTTTTTCAATGTCAAATTTTTTTTTGCCGTTTTTCCTCAAATTGTATTTAATATTTAGTACTCAAACGTACCGTTACACTTGTCATATGCAAACATTTTTTACATACTGATTACAAAGTATATGCTAACTAATTAAGACTTAAGATCCCTTAATTACTAATTCCAAAATGAAACGCTAATGTAATGTATACTTCACTAATTCGGAAATGAGTTACACAAATTTATTGAATTGGATTACGAAATCACAAGTAACTTAATATAGATCATAATTAAATACCCCGAGTATAAAGCGAATAAATGGATGTGAAATTTGCACTAAATAGGACTAAAACATAATGACTTTCCTAAGGTAGGACTTAAACTTTTTTATTCCCTAAATAAGACTTAATAATGACCTAGTGGGAGGAATAATGTCCAGTAATGATGGACATTTACTTGAATAATGACTATTTCATAATGACCAAAAGTCCTACATTGGGACATAAAAACATATAGTCCTATATTGGAAAAGTCATTATGTTTTAATCCTATTTAGGTAAATTTCTCAAAATTATTTGTAAGATTTTTTAAAATATTCTAAAAGTTTATAGGTATTCAATTAAATTCTAAATTGTTTCTTTAAATCTCAATGTACCCAGGCAGCGTTCCGTTCAATTTATTTTTTTATGATTGTTACTTAATCTTATTATAATCAGATCAGACCGAATCAAATCAGAAATAACTTTAATCATAACTACATACAATCAGATCAGACTAGATCATATCAGACAGAACCAAATTAGATCAATCTTCAAAAAATCTGATCAGATCAATCGAACGGAACAGAACCTTATAATCTGTTTTTTAGAGGTTAAACTCATAAATTCTAGTTTTTGTAGTTTTTCCAGTTTCTTCTAGCTTTTTCTACTTTTTTTAATTATTTCCATTTCTTCAATCCTTTTCCACTTCCCGAATAATGACTCTAAAAATGATGTATTTTTCATGCATTATTATTATTTGTATTGTTGTTGTTGTTGTTGTTGTTGTCGTCGTCGTCGTTGTCGTTGTTGTTATTATTATTATTAATATGTTCATAATTATAGTTTATTTTTTATTTTTTATTTTTTCTCTTGTCACTTCTTTTGTGATTCACACACATTATTATTTTTCTTTCATTTTTAATAATAATAGATTTTTTGAAGATGTATCATTACTAAGGGAAGGACATTTCGTAGTGAGTTTTAAAAGCTCTAAAGAGAGGGATGAGATTGTTAAGAGGAGATACTACCTTTTTTACAACAAACTCATGTTTGTGAGAGAATAGGGACGAGGTTCCAAGGTGGAGATCACTGAACTTAAAGATGTTCCAATTTGGTCAAAATAACTGAATCAGTTCAACACTATCCAAAATATAATAATCTCTTCATTCCTAAAAATATTTTCTCTTTTGACTTGTAAGAAATTTAATGAAGGAATAGTTGTGATTTTACTTTCCCAAATTACTTAATGTGATGTAATACTCCTATCGTTTCATAGAACGGTTTCTATTTTGACTTTTAA